TAGATGATTAGACAACCAGGTAAACCAGGGCCATCTATTTTTCGGCCAAAGCAACCAAAAAGGACACCTATGCCCAACAACCTTCCCACAACATGAAGCAGCCCCACAACAAACGCAAGTTAGACTGTTCAACTTTTTGAACCAAGAGCTCAACAAAACCCCCTAACAGGTCCCATACGGTTTTGTTTCCTTCGACCCCCCTCCAGCAACAGCTCACACAAAGACACCTCGGTGCATCCAACAGCATGAGATGCAATTTGGTGCCTGCTTGTGTGGGATGGCTCTAAGAGCTTCCGACTCTTCATTTCTCCGACCCAACCTTTGGTTAGAACTCCCGTGCTTTGGTAAAATGGCAAGCCCAAGAAGCTCACCCATTCCTTGCCAGCGAGGCACGGTCCGGCGCAACCACCACCGGAGCTGCGTGACCGCATGGGCTGAAACTGCTGCGGGGGGGGTCCCCTTTGGAAGGATCAGGCAAGCTCGGACCAGGACGACAGACCTTGCAAAGTCCGGGTCTCCGACCTAAAGCCCAAACAAATTTCATCTTGTCAGGAACACGCACGCGGAGCTTAAACAAATCGTTGAACCGTGTGTTCAGGCTTTTCTTTTCATAGTCCAGTTCGGAGATTGGCATGGTGCCATTTTCCAACAATCGGTTCCACCTTTGGAGCTTCCCTTTACAGGGCTTGAAACCCTACGCCTGCCAGGAGATCCAGGTAAGCAGCCGCCTCACCGAAACCCGAGGACGGGTAGGCACCACATTTGTGTTTCATGAAGCCGGGGAATCCAGGATGCGACGGAGACACATCCAGGTGAAAATATGGGTGTGGCTCAAAATTAACCAGGAGCGGCAAACCGCAGGTTTTGGTCCATGTTTCCACTTACCGGGGTTTGATTTTGGTACCGGTTTTTTGAGCCACAGCCATATTGAGCCAGCAACAAGTAGCATGGAGGCATTGTTGATTTCGTATCGATGTACCAACCGCCCAGAAAGAACTTGTTTGACCGAAGCACGTGTAGAAGACAACCCACCGTGAACCACCCGTCTGCGAAAGCCCTGCATGTTGAGGTGTCGTCAAATCACCTGGTGAAGGTACTTAGCAGCCAAATTTTTTACCAAAGGGGCCCGAGTTGATCTATCATCTGAGATATTTTTTTCGTTGGATCGAAAGAAAAGAAAGCAACATGGTCTCTAAAAGGGTATCAATGACTGAACGTGGAGTGGCACAAAATGAGCATGTGTCACAATAGAGGGGACCGCCTCTAATAGTTTCCCTTGGGTTTCCTTCAAACCCAACCGAAAAAGGGTACCCTGATAAAACCAAACAAACACACACACACACACAAAAAACAAACATGGGAGCGCTGGTTGGCCCGAACTCTGGGGGCGTGCGTGGCCCAAAGGATGATTGATTCAAGCCGAACCAAGGCCAGTTGCCAAGACTGAGATGACTGCAACTGCTTTCCACCTCTTTCAGGAACCAACCTAGGATCTTACATGTTGACCACTGAGTTCTTTCCTTTGACGTGTCGGGGGACTTGGATCAAATCCACCAGCCCGCAATCGGAAGGAACCGCTCTTTGTAAGGAGTTCTTGAGAGCCTTAGGGAGTTTGTTCGTCTTTCGACATTAGTACAGTTGGGCCCCGGCAACAACGTTCGGCCTCAATATGGTCTTCTTTGTTTAGGGTAGGCCCCTTACTAGCCCCGTTGACAGTCACCCCTTTTGTAGTCACCCCTTTTGTGTTCCATCTCACATGATCTGCTGTCTCTTGCCACATGATAGTGGTACCATGACTTGGAAACTGGGCCAAGGCAAATTGGCACCCGCGGCACACACTTTGCGCTCGTCCCTGCGTTTGCCTAGACCAGAACCGAAGCTGCAAACACACCGAGGGGCTGTCCAGTTCCGAACAAGATCTCCGTTTTCATTTGCGTTGCTTTCAAGGGAAACCCGAGGAAACCCACCCATTGGGTTCCCTACTTGGAGACAACCTCAGGACGACAACCCAAGGAAACCCACTCATCTGGTTGCCTACTTGGAGACAACCCCAGGACAACAGCAAACTTGGGTGTCAAACAGGGCGTCCGGAACAAACAAGACAACCCAAACGCAACTCCGTAGCCCACATTCAACCCAACCTTCCGCCGAGAAGACTAGTCAGCACGAGAAACATTAGACCCAGCCTCATGCCATGGTCAGGCGCTTGTAGACGGCCAAGCTCCGCGGGCCCAAATCAGCTTGAATGCATGAGCCCAAAGTGCCTTTTTGGAAGAAAGTTTTGCTTGTGAGCCAAACGGACATCGACCAACTCTTGGGGTCCGCTGTGTGTTGTCCGTGTTGTTATTGTTAGTGTTGTGTGTTGTGTGTGCTGTGTGTGCTGTGTGTGCTGTGTGTGCTGTCTGTGCGTGCTGTCTGTGGATGCTGTCTGTCTGTCTCTGTCTCTCTGTCTCTCTGTCTCTCTGTCTCTCTGTCTCTTCGTCTCTCCGTCTGTCTGCCTGCCTTCCTGCCTTCCTGCCTGCCTGTCTGCCTGTCTGTCCGTCTGTGCGTGCGTGCGTGTGTGTGTGTTGTGCAAGTGGAGCTAGTCTATCTATCCATTGGCTCCATGTTTTGTACCACCTCTTGGAGGGTCCCTTAGTGACCCTCTCTCAAGGCGCCGCCTTGTGGTTTTGGGAAACCAACGGTCGAACCACCTTTCTGGGTCCCTAACCCGAAGGAACCTCTGGGTTGGACTCCAAGGGTTCGGTGCCTGGGGCTGGGGTCCCTTTTGTTTAATGGAGCACACGATCACTGCAACTTATGGAACACAAACGCAAAACACATACTGCATAAGTTGCATAAGCCCTGGATCTGCGAGCTTGCGCAAATGAATCTGTCCAGAGCAAAACCTAGGGGGCTAGGTTATTTCACACATTCTTCTCTCATCATGGCTTAATTGGCCTCAACGCAGCCAACCCCATGCAAGTCATGCAGGCACTGCTTCGTGCGGGAAGCTGAGCCAACGGTTGCGAGAGAGGCAAGTGGTGTGTGTTGTGAACATGACTTCCATTTGCTTTTGCGGCCCCAGGAAAAACTAAAAATATGTCCGGTAGTGATAGGTTCCCTCTAAACCCCACCAGAGAAAATAAAACAATATTCTTAAGAACATGGAAGATTAGGCACATCCAGTGTGATTCTCTTTTTTTGCCAACCGGATCCACCCCGAAGCGATTCTTACATTGGCTGGGTGAAGATGAAGGAAAGCCCAAACGGCGCAACAGCGTTGGCAAGCTAAGCCTGGTGTTTGCAGAGAGTCCGAATTCTTTCCCCCACGAGTTCTATTGCTTGTGTGTCAATACAGTAGCCCCAAAATGGTGAGAGTTCTCTTCGTTTCCCCTCAAAAAACACCCCAAATAGCAACTCCTGGCGATTTGGAGGTTGCAGGCAACACAGGTAACACAGTGTCTGCTCTTTTTAAGGTTTGTTTGCGGGAGGGTAGGCCTTGTATCATTTATCCATAAATGTATGTAACAGAATTGTCCAATGCGACGCATATACCTTGCATAGGTGCAACCAAACTGGAGGCAGTGTTGACCTTCCGTGGTCTTTCACTCTCAACAAGTTACAGCAAACTAAGAGCCAAAAGGAAACCGGCATGGACCTCAAAGTCTGTCAACAAACACAACCACAAGGTTCTTGGGCACAAGGACGTGGTGCTCCTGATGCTTCTGGGTTTGAGAGTCCCCCATCCCCAACTGTAGACTACCACTCATATTGTCAGTGACTGACATGGAGCAATAGCATCCGGTCGACCAAACCTGACCCAAACCCTCATCTTGGCATCCATTGCAGAGAGGTTTGTTTGGGTTGGGTTTGCTTCTTTGAACCGTCCTTTACTTCTCCCTTGACCAAAGTACCTGGAATATGTGGACATACCAAGAACCGTGTTGTTGGACCAACACAACGAAACCAACAGGTCAAACGATCGGATTGGAGTTTGGACAAGTGAGATTGTCTTCAAAATCAGCGAACTACGATTGGGCCAAAACGACGGCCATGCAGTTCCTTGCAAACCATGCGCGCGCAAATAGACACGTAGGGTCGTTTTATTTTGTTTTTGGGTATTGGGTTTAGCCCAGTTGCCCAGCGGCTTTGGAAGACAAAGGGGCCCTTCTATCGACCCTGCTGAGGAAGCAAACAAGTGGACAAGTACTTGGTGCCACTGAACAACGGGCGTAGCATTTTGGGATCTCAAAAAAAGTGGAGCACCCGGTTGGACGGTTCCACATCCACCTGGAAGGGTCGAAGGGTCGAAGTCGCCCGGAGCATGCAGTCGCGCACGGAAGAAGAAACGTGGCGGTCAGGCCAGGCATCTTCACCTGCCAGCTGATGTACGTGTGTATTCTTGAGGTTGAAACTTGGGTGCTGTAGATCCAACAGCAAAAGTTAAACTTTTTGCTGGTTAAAAGGAAATATGAGGGAATCCAAAAAGTTAAAGTCTAAAGATCCAACCCAATGGCAGTAGAGGAAAGGTTTGCAGGTGACCCAGACAGACAGCTGCCAGCAACTCAAGAGAGCATCCTGACTGCATAACGTCTATAACTGGGTGAAGTGAAGTATCCTGCCAACGTTACTGAAGCACTTTGAAGCCGCGTTGCGGAAAGTGTAAGGCTCACCCCGGAGCCCCTGATTTTACTCAGTTGTTCAGTGACCCTGGAAAAACAAAGGGAACCCTTCTTGGGGAAGACCATTTTTAGGGGGGCAGCCACAAAAAAAGGGGCAAAAGGAAGCCCGCGTGCCCGGCTTCGATACATGCCCAATACATTCCGATGCATGCAGGACGGCCCAAACGCACAAAAGCTTGGGGAAGACCAACATAGAGCACTGGGATTCGTCTGTTTGGATGGTAGAAGCAGTTTATGGACATGCCCCGCACACGTGTGGCTTCCCAGAATCTGTAGTGGATACAGGTCGAGGCACAGAAACCTCTGGTTGCACCAGGGCGTCATGTCAGAACTGGCCAGAGCACCCCCAAGCACCTTGTGACTGTCCAGAGCGTGCTGTCGAGGCCTCGATACGGCCGGGAGGCTTTGGACGTCTCCCAGAGACCGAAGCATCCAACCTCCCGTCTTTCAACCGCTTTGTTAAGACCTCAATTTGAGGAATCCACTGCAAAAACTGGTGCTTGAAACCGTCTGGATGGTTGCTTCCTAAAACTTAACCTGGAACATTCAAAAGGAAACCCTAGATATCAACCGTTCGGTGAATTCTACAAACCGACCTGAAATAAGCCATGGTCCTCCCAAGAATAAAAAGCTTCATGGTCGAGCAAACCCGAGTGAGGGGTTACTAACAGGATCCCTCTGGTGGGTTTGGCAAGGTGAGTCACAGGGACTCTGAAATTGGCCAGTGATGCGCAAACTACCACGGGAAAACACTGTGTTGTGCCGGAGAGTAGGGGAAACACCATGCCTCACCTCCTAGCCCTTCATGCGCGTTCGACCTTTCGGAAGTCTACTTTCGCGCGCACCAAGCCATATTGACCCAAACAACCGCTGACCTGCAAGCATTACCTCAGTTGCCCAAAGGGCCTGGAAGCAAAAGGTTAACCTTTTGGGACCTTTACTTAAAATGCCCCCAAAATGGGAAAACCAAAAGGTCAAAAGGTCGGCTTTGGACAACTGAGTTGCTAATACTCCCAGATTTTGGACATAAGGAATCCCCCAGTGCCCTCACTGGTGAGCTCGTTTACCACATGAGCCGATTCGCTCCGGTTTGGGCTTGACTCAGTTCCTGGGCCTCCGATTCGACACTTTCTGCAAGCCTTCCCAAACAGCAACGGTTGGCCCCATATGAATCAAAATCCAGTTTAGAACACAGGGGGCTGAGTGAAATGTGGGGAATCAGATGTATTTTTCTGACCTCATATGAACAAAAGAGAGTTTATTGTTGGGGGGGGGGGGGCGGTTTTTGGCCTCTCCAAAAGTGGTCTGATTCCCCACCTTTCGCCCAGGGACACCCCCTTGAATAAACTGGGCTGATGAATATGGGGTTCACAGAAAAACACATGAAGTCGAAGATTTAGGACCAACATCCGAAAGGCGAAATATGTTGGTCCAAATATTGGTTGAAATCCAGAATAAATTGGTTGAACTGTTGGTTGAGGTCCACAGAACACTAGATCCAGAAAACCTATTGTCATGTTCCATAAGGTGAAATCGCAAGTCGCTTCAATGGATCGCCACGGATTCCTCTGGGGCGCCCGGGCTTGTGATTCGGCCGCCGAGATTGGCCGAGGCGGCGCCTGCGGCGCGGTCCACGGGCTTCAGGCAGAAAATGCGGGTACCACCCTCTGTTTTGCGTGGAACAACCCGAGGCAACTTTGGAAAACCAGGAAAAACCAGGAAAAACCAGGGAAAATCAGGGGAAACCGAGGAAACAAGGAAAAATGTTGCTTGAAGGGAAACTGGAGTCATTATGTTGACTGTTTTTGGGGGTTGTCAAAGTCAGAAACTGGGGTGGCTTTCCATTAACCTACTATTTAGGGGGTGACTTTGATAGTGGTGAACTAATGGGCCCAGGAAAACCGAGGCCATTTTGGGGGGTCACCTAATTGAGACACATCCAGTTGTTGGATTGGGACTTGGTGTAACTCTGGCTGGGGGACCACCAGTTGCCCCAAGTTGCCCCAGTGATATCCATCATATCCGCGGCTACAACCTACTAGCTTGAACATCTACGCAAAGATCCGTGCCTGTCGGGAGCGACTGCGATCCAAGCGCTTCACCTCAGTGAACGGCGGGTTACGGCGAAGTCGATCGCCTGGCTTTCGGGTTCCAGCTTTCATTTTTCCCGCGGTTGTATGGGCGTTAGGCTCTTTTTGAGGAAGTCCTATGAACCCAAACTCCGAAGGGCTTTTGGGACCTTAAGTAAGGATTCCTCAGAGCGTTATGCAGATCTCCCTGGTCTGGGAACCATGACGATGGCCATTTTTTCTGTCCTGTACCTGTTTTGGGCCTTTTTTCAAGGAACACCCGGGGGCCCCCCGGAGACACACCCATAGTAGCCACCATGGACATGTGCCCCGTCAAAATTGTGTCCTCCCAAGGACTCAAATTGACCGGGTCTGGGATCCTGACAATGAAGCCGAAGGGTCTGATAAGGGGAACACAAGAACTCACTTCCTGAGCAAACTGGCCGAAGAAATCCAAACCTTTTGCCACTCACATCGTCTTCCCAAAGTTGAAAGTCCGAAACGGAACTCAGGAACTGGGAGGAGGGGGGAGGGACTGAAGGCCGCCACTTCGCAGAGGGAGAAACAGGCGTGGGTGGGGGGTGATGGAGTGGCCTTTCGATATGACGGGGTAAGCCCAGATTGGCAGAACTGGGCACCTTGGCTTGGCAACAGGAATGAGTTCATCAACCTTTTCCCAAATCGGACATGCAAACTATATAGTGGAATTTGTCTGTGGCTACTTCTTGATCAATCTGCGGTACCGAATTCACGGCTTCACGGGGCCCTTTGGCTTGTTTGCAACTAGTGTTGCCGGTGCATTGCTTGTCTTCCTTTGAGTTTAACCAAAACGAAAGCATCTTGCCACGGGAGACAAGGGGTCCGGCTTTCCTATGGAGCACGGATCTGGTGCAGAGCGGTGTTGCTGGGTGCAAGGTGATCCTGGGTGCCAGCAGAGGCTAGACATTGGTGGGGGAGGGATCGGGCCATCGTGGACCATGTCAATATAAGCTTTCCCGTGAAACAAAACACATTTATGGGTGATGGTGTTGCAAACCCAAACCCGTGAGGTCGCCACAATTTCCTCAGAAAGAGTTGCTCAAACAGAAAAGAAGGACCCCCTCAAATTGCTTTCAACACTTGTTTTCCGCCAACCTGCTAACTTGACAATGCGTCCAAAAACGCCACAGTACTGTTTGCCTGTCCAGAATGAAGTTCATGGCCCCACGAATCCGAATCGGACTCCGATTCCTGGAGAAACCGGTGGCTTCCGTTTGGTTTGCCTCTCAAACATCAAGGGGGTGCTCCAGCAAGACACCCGGCACACCCATTTCAGCTAGACTCCATGCTCGATTTCGCGCGCTGGGCACCCTGCCGCGCGCACTACCGCGTCCAAGGTCTCAGTCGTGCCTCAGGCTATTGCAAGGGGCTGACATGGGCTGAAAGACCCAGACCTTCCCTGGCAGGAGAAAAACAAACATACCACGTTTTGGTTGGCTGGTGTAAAAAAAAGAAAAGAAACTCACCGCAACAAAACAAAAGTGGATCTCTAGGGACACCCGCCCCAGAAAAGGGTAATGCTGCCGCCTGCTTTGCTTCAGAGTCATCGACAGCTTTCTGGCAACTCCTAGCCCAAAAGCTTGCAAACATGTCCTGAGAATGTGGCAAACTTAGAGACAGCACAAGGACTGTCAAAAGAAACTACTGGGTGAACCTGCCATTGGAGGCCCAAAGCCTTCGGCACGTGGGGAATGGTCCAACAGGCAGCGACCCTTGGGCCAGAGGCCGCCCCGCTGGAAGGACCCACTGCGAAACCACGAGCAGCAAGGCAGTCCTTGACACCAGGATTAAGCAAGGAAGCTGCATGGGAGGCTCACAAACCCAAACCCAAACCCTGTGTTGGGTTGTGGGCTACCTTTGCGCTTTCCACTCCAAAAGGGGCTCGTGTTCAATTAAACTGTTTGGGACCAGTTTCTGTTCAGCCGACAATCCAGCAGAAACAGCGGCTAACATAGTTGCATTACTGGAATGGTCAAGACAGCTATTGACTATTTCCATCGTGAAACTGAAACCAATAGCAAAGAAAACTACTCCTTCTGCTTCCACGTCGAGAAATCAAGCTCTTTTCTAGGGAGAGAAACACCGAGCCATTCTGGGCCTGATTCCCCTCCCAAATAAACCAGCTGCGCCCACAAAGGCCCCGGGCGAGCTCGAGTGAGTGAGTGCGATCGCACTCCCACTCTTCTTTTAAAGAGGAGCCTCCTCCCTTCTTTTTTGGTTTTCACCCTTCCGTTTTCACCTCCAAAAACGGAAGTTAGAACCAACCCAAGGAGCCCCCTCCCACCCCCCCCCTCCGACCCCCCCCGACCCCGCCCCCGGACGACCCCCGAAGCCAACGACTCGGCGCCCCCGCGCCGCTGCTGCTCCGAGAGGCTGGCGATGGCACGGCCGTGCCTCGCGGTGTTGTCCTCGGCTTCCGGTCGCTCCCTCCGGTCGCTGGCGGGTCCGGTCGCTGGCGGGTCCGGTCGCTCCGGGCCGGTTCAGTTCGGTTCCCCCGTTTTGGTCGGGGCTCGAGCTTTGTCTCTGCTCTCCGGCGGGGAATGCAACTTGTGAAGGGAAGCCCAAAGGACACCTTGAAGGAAAAACAGGAGGATTTTGGGGGGAGCTGTAAAGAGTTGAGAAAGAGGGTACATCAAGAAAGACAGTACAATGCGGAAATGTGTGCCACAGCCACCCCACCAAACACCTCAACTCCAAACCCAAGGTATCCCCAGATGATTTCGACCGGCAACCGCCCAAGACTATTCAAGAGCACGGGGCAAAAGCTGGAGTCTCGCTTTTGAGGATCGTTGGCTGTGGTCCTAAGACTTGTTTTTTCTTGTTTGTAGAGCTCTTTGCGCAGCTTCCCTCCAAATGGCGGTTTGGATTGGTGCTTTGAAGGATAAAATTTCCCATTTGCCCTCTCGGTTCAAATAATCCCAATCCAAGCCACCAACTAAGGGTCACCTGATTGGCAGTTTGACTCAAAAGGCTCCGGCAACATGAGGGATGGCAAAAGGAATTGCGACACAAGCGACGGAAGAGTGAACATCCCTCCAAGCAAACATTCAGGTGTTCTCAAATTCACTTTTGGGGGCGATGTTCCTTCTAAGCACCATTTAGAGGGGTTGATTTTGAGGGAACCCCTGCAAGAATTGGACGAAACAAGGGACCGGCTTAATGGACAACCACTGTGCTGAAGACCCCGTCAAAAAAACGGACAAAAGGAAGCAACCCACTCAGCAGTGGACCCATTCCATGCGATTCCAGCGGCGGATACGCCTGCAAGGGACAAGTCCAACTCGGAGGTACCTCGGCGAAGTGGTTCTAAGCCTCCCCCAGCCGGGGCAAAAACAGAACCCTTTGGGGGACGGTGAAGAGATACCCGCTCAACAAACAGTTGAACAAGCTTGATTCATTGGTGGTGGTGGTGGTGGTGGTGGTGGTGGTGGTGGTGGTGGTGGCTACTGATGGTCTTCTCAATGTCTCGTGCGATGACCGTGAAAGAGGCTGACGTTTCCGAAAGTCCGCACTACTCAGGCCCAAGCTGGATTGCCATGGGAAACAAGGCGCCCCTTTTTCGGTTGATTGTAAAGGGGAACCGCCTTAAGCGGATCGAATCCTCCAAGGAGAATTGTATTTTTTGCACCGTTGCGGAGGGAAAACCCTGATGGCCATGACGCAATTCTCGTTGCTTACCAGTGATCTGGGAGTGCTCATAAAAATCTGGACCCCTTTTGGCATTTCAACGTGACACAGGAAGATGGCTGAGAAACAAGGCCCCAGGGTCCCAGCTTGCACGAAACCACGGGTCCCAAATGGAGCCCTGGCCCCCCCAAAACTCAGTTGCCCCAAGGACCCGCACATAACTGCACGTTTCTCTGTGAAACAGAACGACTCAAGGACCTTGAAAAATCCCACATCGGACGGGCACCACAGTCTAGGGTTCAGCTTTTGGGGGCGACTAAGGGACCAAAAAGGGGAAACCAAAAGGTCAGATCCAAGGTTCCCTTTGGCCCCCGGCGGTCCACCACCTCTCCGATGACTTGCGTGCTGCTGAGCGCCGCCTCGCGCTCAGATTGCAAGTAGTCGACTAAAAACGGGTGGTGCACCTACCCTAAAATGGTACCATTGGTTTTGACCCACAACCGCATGGGGGTGTTCGAAGGTCGGAACACCTCCTTTCTGTCCAGACAACAATGAATTGGCACTTTTGGTTTCTGTTGATTCTATCGGCACTCTTTGCTTTTCTTGGTTGATTTTAAAGGGCGCCCCTCCAAAGGACAACTTAGCAAGTGAACGCTGGATGAAGGGACAAGGGAAACCAGTTTGAGGGACCCCTATTTTGAATACACTGCTTTCAAGGGTTAAAAAGGATCCCCTTTTGGTTGGTCGATGAACTTGGGTTGCCTTCCCGAATAAACCCTCACCTGCAGGGGGGCTTGCAAGACATGCTGGGGCATGTCAGAACACTACTGCAGCCACTAAGTATATAACCCCTTCCAAAAAGTGGCTCTGAGCACCGCTGCTATCGAGGCATTGCTTTGCTTGACCAGCACAGCGTTGAGGTGTGGTACTGTCTGCACTCAACTGTGCTTGATGCGATAATGTTAACATTGGGTTTCAATACAATACCACCGATAACTAGGCGTGTCTCGGAATCCAGTACAAAGTAATTCTCAGCTCTGACGTTCATACGGCACGTTCGGCCGAGATATTTTGCCCACCTTACAAAAAGCAGTTGATTTCAATTCCAGCCCAATTCAAACTTTGTCCAATTTCCGGATGCGTCCTCAATCCCAAAGCGCCACTTACAACTACGTTCTCCCGCAAAGCATCTTCTCGCCAGAACCCGATTAATCTGAGGTTTGACCTCCTGGAAAGGGACAGGGGAAGGAGCGGGAGGGCTTGCATTTCGGGTAGTTATGGGCAACGGTTCGCTTTCCTTATAGCAAGCACTCTCAGCCATGTCAACCCTTTGCAATGGGCATACCCGCCAGCTAAGCTGAACCGCTCCTTTTTTCTCACCTCCTGCTTGAACATGCCCAAATCATGGCACTTGCGATTGAAACCGAAAAGGGTACCGAGCCTCAACCACCACCCACCCCAAACAGGGTACCAACCCGCCTTCCTCGAACCTGGATCCCCGCCCTCGTTTCGGCCGGCCGGCACTTCCCTAAGGAAACAGCAAAACACACACCTGGAGGCCAGCGAAGTCAGGGCGTTCGCGCAAATGGACCTCAAGTTGACACCAAAAACAACACACCACCTGGTTGCCGCAACGACCCCTCTGCAAAAAGTGAATAACCTTTGGTGGCTTTAGTGGACACCAAACCCCCTTGATCTCAACCAAAAAGTGAAAGTCTAAAGATCCGTTACCCAAGAGCAGTCAAGACCTTGTGAGACGGCATGGGGTTTCACACCAAGCATACTTGGTTGACGTTGGAAGGGGAGCAAACACTTAAATTTTAGCAGTTAAGTGGTTGGATTTCAGCCACACAACCACAATTGAAGCCAAAATATGTTTGTTTTTTTTCCCAACAACCACCATGTCATAGGGCGCACCCCTTCCTTCCCCACGTCTCGCTCCCCGCGCCTGCACGCCCTCCCGGAGCTCCAAGCACTGGAGCAAGGCCTCCCGGTGCTCCAAGAGCTCCTGGAGTCGATCAAACCGCTCGGATCCCGCGCTTCGCGGCTCGCCTGCGTTCCCATGTTGTTGCTTTTTTTAAAGGGAAAACGTGATCCAATCGGTACTTGTTGTTTTTTCCTAAGGAGGAAAACATGATTATCTCTTTGTTTTTCCTTGTTTCTCCCTCAAGAGGAAACATGATTCTCCCTTTGTTTCTTTTCCTCTTGGTTTTCCCTTTCTTTAGGACTTGGAATCAACACGGAAAACCAACAGTGAAAAAGGAAAAAAGGCAACGATTCACAGCCACTCATGGCTTGCTCGTACCCCTGTGAGGTTTTGGAGCCTGGCATCGAACAGTTCTCCCTTTGGCTTCTATTTGAAACCACCCCAAAAAGGGAGCCGAATCAAACACAGACACAGCCATACCGACTTACAGGCCGGGTAGAGGTCAAACAAGTGGGGGACGCGGCGTTCCTTCCCTTTTAACTCAGCTACAGGGGTGCAAACCCGACCACACATTTCCAAACCACCAACTACGTTCCTGAAAAAATGGGACTGTGGAACCACCCAGGAAGGGAACACAACACCTGTCAGGCAAAAGGGCAAACCCCCAACCACAAAAGCTACCTGGGAGCTTCCCGCAATGTGTTTCGGGCCCCTTTTGCCCCTTTTGGTATTTAAAGGGAACCCAAAAGGAAACGAAGCAAGCATAAGGAACCTCTTAGAGAAACCAGCACAGGCCGCTCCTGCCCTCGTCGACAGGATCGTAGGGGTAGAACAAATTGGCCAACAAATGTAAACAAAAGGAACATACACACACACACATAGAGATTCCACCCTTGTAACTTACGCAGCTAAAGCCTTGGGGCAATTCTGCTCGCTTTTGGGAAAAGCAAACCCTGGTCGATCTGCTCAGATTAAATCCACAGTCAACAGTATGGTTTGACTTTGACAGAAAGCAACAAATCGTGTGTTTAGCCACGGTCAAAGTATGTAGTTACCGCACAGGACGTGAAACTATACTTATTTGAGTGTCCCCGTACCCCCTTCCCCGCTCCAGCACGCTCTCGCGCACCTGGCACGGGTTGCAAGGCGCATTCTGGCCCGGACCCATCAATTAATGTGCTGGATTTGGTGTCAAAATGGGGGACCCCCCCCAAAAAGAAGAAGAAGAAGAAGCTGGTTTTCTTTTGGCTTCCCTTCACCAACCCAAACAACGGTTCCCTCAAAAAACACCCTCCCCATTTGTAGGGGGTCCCTCCCAAAGTGCGGGTTTCCCTGTGCGATGGGACGAACAAAAAGGCAAGCAGAGGTTTCTCTGGGCTGGGTGAAGCGGGCTTGAGCTAGCCGAAGGATCCGGCCTCATGGTTCCTTTGGGCGTTTACACCTTCCGGACGTACTTCTCGGCTCGGAAGTTCCTCGAAAAATCTGGGAACTCTTCGGGGCTAAACAAACACATCCAAACAAACAAAAAGTCTCGGACGGATGACACTCGATTGCCTGCCCATTCAGATTATGAAAGGCGCAACCAATCTTTGCAAGATCACCAGCTAAATCAATACGCACATTATTCGGCTGCGATCATCAGGTAATCGGGTTTAGTGGTTCCCGGAACCACAGTGGCCAACCTGAAATGAACTCCAAAGACGCTTCTAATACGTCCTTTCTGGGCATGATCGGGCTTGACATGCGGATCTCCGGAAAACGGACATCCATGCCCAATGCGTGTTTCGTTTACATATATCCGGCCCCACACGTCGTCCCCCGCCTTACTGATGCTGCCTGGAAAACATTGGTAACTGTTGGGCCTCTTTATTGATATGTATGGAAGCCGAAAGGCCAACCACCATTCCTGGGGGGAGGGTTTTACTTTTTCTACACTTACCCTATTAACTCTTGATAGGTCCTATTCAAAGTCAGCAAGGGGGAGTGTAGAAAAAGTGAAACCCTGCCCCCAGGAATGGTCGCCATCCCCTAGCGGGGCTTCGGCTTCGCATCCCTAAGCCCCATCCAGCCGCAGCTCCAGAGCAACGAGCACACGCTGAAAAACACACACAGGAAGCTTGAACCTGGTTCCACTGCCTCGCGCCCTGCGTGGATTGACAAAAGTCTGGGCTGCCCGTTTTCTGATCCGCTAAAAGCTTAACTTTTGGTGGGTTGAATGGAAACTACCACTCAACACTAAAAGGCTAAAAAGCTCAGGGGATGGCTGGGAGCCACCAAGAAGTGCCGAAGTTGTTGGGTTGTCGCCAACATGGTCTTCCAACAAAGCTAACATCCCGTAACTCAGGAAGTGAGGTGACGCTTCACCGAAAAGGAACAAATAGCCCCTGTTTGGGTGACTCAAAAGTACTCCCCTGGCAGCTACTCCCTTTGAGAAACATTCAGCTTGGTTTCCCTTCTGCTTCCCTTGAACACCTCAAACAAATTTAAATGCAAACCGCAGCCAATATTCGTGGTGTCCCCAAGTGACATTGGCTGGTGCGTAACAACACTTCCTAATGGTAGCTTAGTGAGTGCAGCGAATGCCTCTCCTCAACTACCGCCACAGCAACCCAACAACCACACCTGCAAACATTACTGGAAGGGGAGCAAAAATGATTTTTTTAGCAGTTAAGTGGGGATCTCCCACTAAACCACAATAAGAACAAAACCTGAAGAATGTTTCCCAACAACCATGATTAGCCTGCTCAAACCGCCCAGAAGGACAGCTGCACGTTGAAGTCTGAGTCCTAAACGACGCCCTGAAACTGCCCGTAGCCTCAGAGAAGGGAATGCCCACTCCATAGAACCCTAGGACCAGTGTGTTCCCCCAATGGAAACGCTGGCCTTAACGAACCGCCAAAATGGATCCTGCACAAAGAGGGTGTGGGTGAAAAAATGGGGTAACCCCAAAATGGCAAGCGCCCTGGTAAATGGCTTGCCAAGGACTAAAACCTGTGGTCCATATCCTGGTTCAATTTTGACCCACGCCCAGGGGGCACTTCTCAACATCCCACCGACGTGACACCCAGTAGTGCTCATCCTGTTGCAACCTATCGCCATCACTCGGAAGCATCAATTGTCCTGAACCCAAAGTGGATATTCAAACTGCGCTTTTGAGGTGAGGACATCTACTTCCTACGCTTGGACCCCCTACACTTGGACCCCCCAAACAAGGGGCGTGAATTTCAACCCCATTCTGCCCAAATGCCGTTTCGGCCTCCAAGCATTGCTCGAGCACCTTGCGGTGCATCAGCAACTCCTGACTCCAGGTCCGATTGCTGATGGAGCACCCGTCGTTTTTTTGCCGGGCGTCGGCATGCACTCGGGGGACACAACACAACACACGCTTTCCGTGGCAACTGTAAATGCAACCTCTGTTGTCTGTCGGGGATGACACAAATTGCCAACTCCCGAGCTGACTTTTGGTAAGATGGCTGGGTTTGTATTGCCCTGACAGTAACCTCCATGAGACCTGGCAGTAAACCAACCTGCTACTGTAAAAGGGCCAATGTTTCTTTAATGTGCTTCTCAGTTGGGATGGATGAAACTCTATTAATACTTGCATACACCACCAATCCGAGCTGGTGCGAAGTGGGAAGCCTAGGTTTTGGAGATTGAATCAAACAAACACCGGTGAAATCGCAGGTCCAAAGTAATCACGCGGACACGAGTGGGAAGCATTGGTTTGTAGGATTTTTGGCCCCAGTCCGGTTTCTGTATTTGATGGGACCCTCTTTCATTTCTGCTGCCAACATAATTAACGAGGATGCGAACACGGGTGTGCTCTTCGATCAACGGCTCTGTTCCCGGAAGGCATAGACACCAGGGCACGGCTCCACTTCAGTCTGGGTTCGGCTTTTGGCTTTTGCGATTTCCGATTCGTTTTTGTGGCTTGTATCCCAGCTGTATAAGGAAGGCCATATAGTTCGATGAATTTGAAAGGGTTGCCACCCTTCAAACTTGGCGAGTGGACATACATCAACGTAAACGACCGCCGGATCAAAGCCACACACACACACACGCCTGCATGAAAGCCTGTATGAGTTTGTGAGTCGGAGTACACCCTTTATGTGGTGGTACATAAGCTCTTGGATGAAGAGAAGGATTCTATGGCTTACAGGACATGGAAGGATGATACTAGAGATCAATTGGAGAGATGAAATATAAGGAAAGGATATTAGCTAAGACACATGAATGACAGGTAAATGAAAGGACAATGTGAAGAGAAAGATAAAGATGACATCATAAAATCCCAGAAGTTGTAAAAGCATGAAAATAAGAAAGGAAATGTTCTTTGTCCACCAATTCACTTCCTTCGTTCCTCAGCTTTTAGGAGTTAATATTGGATGGATATCTGGTTATTACGAAAAGAGCTTTCATTAGGTTTAGAACTAATTACTTTCATCACATCTTGAATCCAGAAATTATTTTAGTAGATAGGAAGGCTTTATTATCAGGCATTAATTCCCAATCCAAACAATCCTAACATTATGAATGACGATATGAAAATATAGAACCTTTTGAATTATGTTCCTTTTGGTCTTTTATTATTTCATACCTCCAACCCCGATGACAGTTTTTCCTCCTGAAACCTGATCCAGTGGAAGCGAACAACTAAACGAGGTTGTTCACCGGTTGGACTCTTCATCTTCCAAAAGGCACAAGGGTTATTTCGGTGAACCACTCAGTTTGGTCCAAAGGCGATGTGGTTCACTTGTGGGACATGCAACGCAGCTCTCAACTGCTTGGGCCAGAAAGACTCTTCGGACATCTCCAAGCTTGTTACGCTTGCGAGTCTCACAAATGAGTCCCAGCATTGGGACGACCTTTCGTGGTGTGTGAACCGAAAGGACCCTACCTTTTTTTGGTGCGGTCACCTCTTTTAGAAAACACCCACTCGCTCAAGGTGCAGTTAAAACACAAGCATACCTTCCCCGCGACCAACACGGAAGCTGACAGGAGGGTTCAACAAGCCTGAACACGGGCAAACTACGACTTTGAGCCCGGGCTCACAACACCTCAAAACTACCATCCTGCAAGCCGCTGCTAGTGAAGACAACTTGCTTCCTGAGTGAAGTGGACAAAGTCCAAACCGTTGGCTTACCACCATGGTGGTATTCCCACGTCTAGGTCCTCCAGTAGAGAGGCTAGAATAAGGGTACCCCTTTTTTTCTGTAGTCTATTTTGGTAGGGGAACCCTCCCAACCAAAAAAAGAACGGCAAAAGGGCACCAATTGCTGGGGGAGCTAGCACGTATGAGGTCCAGGAACTCAGGAAGTGAGACATACGGCTACTGCCAACGTGCCTGCGTCAGCCTTCCCACCTCCTCGCGCAGCAATGAGACCTCGGCCGAGTCCGCGTGCAATGCCTCGTGGTTGCATCATGAAACTCCGTACATATTCCCGGTTGCTTTCTGCTCCCCCTGCTAAAAGCTTAACTTTTAGTGGTTGAATGGAAAACCCATTGGTCGGCAATTTGTTAAAGTCCTAACATCCAAGCAACATGCCCCAAAGTATTCCTGGCTTGCTTGCACGACCAGAAATGAATGGGATGACAAGACATTAGAGGAATGAAATGAAATACAACTCATCATTCCGCTCATTCCGCTCATTCCGTTCATTCCGTTCATTCAATTCATTTCATTCCTTCAGTCTGTCCTGCATGTCAGTCGGTTGGGTCAGCCAGGCAGTCGGGTCAGCCAGTCATTGTGTCATGCATTCATTCATTCATTCATTTATTCATTTATTCATTCATGCGTCTATTTGTTCGTTTGTTCGTTCATTGCATGTTATTTCACGAGTTTTCATGTCATATTATGTCATGCCTTGTCATGTCATTTCGTGTGTCATGCTAAACCGTCTGTCATGTCATTTCACATCATTCCATTTTGATGGATTGATTGATTGATTGATTGATTGATTGATTGATTGATTGATTGGTTGGTTGGTTGGTTGATCGATTGATTGTTTGATTGACTGCTTGATTGATTGATTGATGGTTGCTTGATTGACTGCATGACTGCATGCATAGGAATGAAGGGATAAATAAGTTAATAACTGAATGCATGCATGGATTGATGGGTGGATGGATAGATGGATGGAGTAATTAATGACCTATTGAATCAAATAATGAATCAATCAAGCAACCCATCCAGCAAATCAGCCACGCTATCAAACACGAACAGAGTGACCTACCAGCAATGACATACGTTAAGCAATTCTGCGACCGCACAAGGAACAAGCTCTTTTTGGAAGTCGCAGGCTGAGACTTCTATTGGCCTAGGGATTCCACAACAAGCGACAAGCGGAGTCTAACCTAAATGGACATGGGAAAACCTAGGGTTTGTCCCCTAGCTTTTGCGTGGACCTGTGTCTCGAGCCCCCCTTCTCCCCAAATGGACCTTTGTCTGGACATATCCTCAGGCAAAAACGCTGTGGGTATGGCACACTTGTAAGTATTGAGGTTGTTTCTCCTGGTTCCGTATTGAACGGACGCACACAAAGCAAAGTCAACTCTGGTTCCAAGCCTTTTTTGTGGAATCTGAGGGAGCGTACTTGGGACCACAAGAGTGGCTTTGTCGGAACAAAGCACGGCTTCTATGCCAATGAAATGATCTTCCCCAGCTGCTTAACGGCCAGCTCGAGATTGAGACATAGAAACCCAACTAACCCAACCAGGGCAAACCGAGAAGGCCAGATCTGGTGGATTCGCTTCGAAAGAAAAGTGGTAAAGCTGAGGGGAACTCACACCAAAAAGGAGGGACACACACCGCCCATTCTACCAATCTCCATGTGGTAGATTAAAGGAACGCAACCAACCAGTTTCTGACCCCAGATTTATGCCACCCGCCCCCTTGGATTCAGGTTCAAATCCATGGGAAGGTTCAGCCAAACTTAGACTTCTTGCAACAGTCAACTTGTGTTCATTCAAAAGGGCAAATGTAGAAACACCAAACCGAACAGTTTTCCGCTCAGTCCGGCAACGTGAGGTGAAATGAATGACATCATGGCACACATTGCTCTCTTAAACTTTGAACCGCTCGCATGCCAGGGAGCCAAAGCAGCAGCCACTTACCACGAGATACGGCCATGGGTCAAAACCCCGTACCCCCAGTGAACATCCCAATCCCCACTAAAATAGACTAAAATGGGTGGTGCATCTATCCCAAAACGGTACCATTAGTTTTGAACCATGGCCATACTGCAAGCCAGCTTCTATAGTCTTCACCAGAGTTCCCTATATTTCCCCTTACCATCACCCAAAAAAAGAGCTAACCTACGAGCCAAAAGCGTGATGCGGAAAACCACCAAACAGGGAAATATAGGGACCCGAGTTACCGTTGATCCGCGCTTTTCCCAAGAATGTGGGTTCTCCGCCATCCACGCCACATTTCCGACCGAAGAATTTACAAACACTTCCTCCAGTAGAGATAGAATAAGGCTACCAACTTTTTTCGGTCGTCTATTTTAGTAGGGCAACCCTCCCAACCAAAAAAAGAAACGGTACAAAGGGCACCAATTGCTGGGGGACCTAGAACACATTCGGTTCGTTACCCCACGCGCCTCATCGCTCGCCTCAGCGGCCTTGGAACTTGAAAGGCTCTCGAATGGAAGTTGAGACGCAACACCCTAGCAGGTGTCAGGTGCCCCTTTTGGAAAAAAACGATCTGACGACTTCAACAAATCTTGGTGTGAATTATAATAAGGGGTTCTTTGGTGGACATGGTGTAGGTGGGGATTCATGTCCACCAATCCCTTTTGAGGTGGTTCCCTGTTAAAAATCATGCCCATATGACTCCTTAAACAAGAATGGAAAGACTCCGGGAAAGGACCTTGGCGGGAACACAGATCGGCAGAGACCTGGCACGGGCAGAGATGACGAGTGTAAAAACCAAACTGGAACGAGTGAGTGGAGCCACTCGATTTTCAGCCAAATTGACCCATAGGGTTCCACTCCATTGGTGCGTTGGATGCCTAATCTATTGCGAGTAGCACAAGGGGTCCTATCATATGGCATAAGTTGCTGGCGTTTCTTGGCTGGATGTGGTATGTGAAAACCCATAAATGCTCCTTTGCAGGCCACGCAACATGGTTGCACCCTCCACCTCAAAGAACAACGATAACCGCAGACTAAAGAATGACATAAACGCAAACAGGCACAACACACAACACACACACACACAACACACTCACAAAGTATGTCCTTGTGATCTAATCGACCCCATAGCGAATCCACGCTCGCTCGGATTCCCTCTGTGCCTTTCAGAACCTCCCAAAGGAAGCAACACGTTGCAGACACCCAAAGCACGAAAAGCAGGCAGCTTCCCTCGACTAAGATGACCGTTTTGAAGGTGGCGATCCATTTGCCACTACAAGAACCAAAGTTGAACTCCCACATCCAAATCGCAAAGTTTTAGGGTTGCCAAATACTGTAGCAGGTCGACCCTGGAGTGCTTACCGTGGCCTCACAGTGTACACGTAGCGAATATGGAACCCTCAAACAGCCCAACTGCAGCCTCTCGCAACAGGGACTCGTGGCTTTTCAGGTCAAGGAACGTGCGAAAATCAAACATGTCCTAACACAATTCAACATGGCCTGGTTCGAGCCACCCCATGTCGAAGAATTACAGGAACCTAGTTGGTGAGTCAGAGCTCCTTGGTAATTTTTGGGGGGTGCCCCGTATTTTCAGAGGCCCCTGTCGCTGGGAATCGGCCGTATCGACCTGAACCATTGGTTGGGGTTTCCCCTATTACTTCCCCATGATGTTTCGCAACCATGTTTTGGCATGTTGAGGATGGGCTCCGTTGTTCCCTTGGCTCCTGCAAGACGCCACCCCGCACGTACCCTGGAGGGGCTGCCAATTGCATTGAACTGGTCAGCAAACCTGTACCGCAAAAGTACACGTGAAGCTCCGCACAAAAGGGCGCGCCACTCCTCAGGCTCATTTTCAGGGAGTTTCCGCAGGGGTTATGTGATACTGTAAGTACGCAGGCTATCCCCGCACTGATCCCTTCACAGGCTACAGTATTCCCCATGGTATCACAAGCGGTCTAAAGCCAACCCGAAGTGTCTTCTTGGGAAAACAGATGGCACCGAGTATGACAATCAAACCAAACTGAAAGCAGTGGAACACATCTATTTCAATTAGACCTAAAAGGAACACCCATGCTTCCACCCTTCCCATGGCGCCTGAGCTCCTTCCATGGTGCGCAGGCTTCTCTCTCTCCCAACTCTCGTGTCGTGCCTTGCCCAAATTTGGCTCATTTGTTTCCTGCAAGATGCCGTGCTGTGCCAATGTTTTTCCACAAGCTGCGCATTTTGGACCTCAACGCGTACTCTTGTTTTTTTCTCTTTTTTTTCCGCATGCATCTTTCTGGCAAGAAATGGTGTGTTCCCTTGGACCTTGCTTTGCACCTTTTCGCGCAAGCTAAAAGGAGAATGCCAGCAGCAACGGCTTCGACATGGGCCGCGTCGCAACACATTCTTGCAAGCTGTTTGCCCTCTCGTGTTGAGGAAAACAAAAACCGCTGCAACATGTTTTGAACCACCTTGCGTGTCATAAATCCAACTCCAACGTAGCTCTCAACATCTGAAGCGCTCGGGGTATGGCTGGAAACCTCCAAGTTCAGTCCCCTATGCTTGGCGCAGTTTCCACCCAATGAAACCACGCCAGCTGCTGCTTGGCAACTTCAGGAGTCACAACCAACATTCGGTAAAGTGGTGATCCCAACTGTGGTCCGTGGAGTGCCAAAAGTTCTTGGGGAAAGGGCGTGTCTTGTTTTAGGGCACCCACCAAAATGGTTTCGGCTTTCTTCAACGCCAACCAAAAAGGGGTACCAACTCCAACAAAAGAAGGATCCATATGTCATGACTCCAACATCTAAGCGCTAGTCTGAACGTAGCTTGGAGACGATCTCCTGATGCTTTGGTCATGGCTTGCGGATTTTTACAGTACCCCACACCCCGCAGAAAAAACAGCCCCTAGGCCCTAGCCAGGTTCGAACTTTCAAGGGTTCTCACAAGGGTCGCAGATTAGCCCTGCATTCGAAGTCTGGAGGCCAAATCAATTGCACTCTCACGCGCCATGCTTTTCCGTGGCGCGATCAGGAGTTCGACCTCGGGAGATTGCGCCGGGTTGGGCTTTTCTCCCAAACTTGGCCCAATTCTAGGGTACGCCACCTGTTACTTGTCAATCCTAGAATCACAAATCATATTGGAGCAAAAGGGCAGGGTGTGGGCCCCAGCTAAAAAAAAAGACGCCAGGGCACCCCCTGTATTTTCAGGTGTTCTGACTGGCTCTTGGGGGTGATGCGACCATCAAAAGGTGGCCAAAGGTCCTTCCGTTGAGGAAACGAGGGCAAGGCCATGAGCCGGACCACACGCAGACAGCCTCTTTGTACGACCAGGGAAAGTTTCGGAGGGTTTTTCGAGTCCGTTTTGGTCTCTCCTGACTGGAGGAAAAAAATACGGCGCCCCCGCAAAAGCTGGCAACTGGACCCAATGGTTGCAGAGAAAACACCGACGTCTAGCAAAGAGCCAAATGCGAAAGGTCGGAACAATAAGCAGGCAAAAGGCCGTCTGCCCAGGAAGATGATCACTCAAGATCTCTGGCTCCGTCCGACTCTTCTTCCTAAGTGCCAAGCAAAGAACTCCTAGGTTTCCACTGACGGAAGTGCCCAAACCGCCGCAGGGTTGAAGGAGAAAGAGTCGGAGGGAGGTACCGGTGGGTCAATCAATGGCTGAAACAAAGGCAGTTCGTTGGGTGGTCTGCTCTGACAGAGCCAGGATTCCCCATATGTCCAACCTGTAAGACATCTATCCGGCCTGACAACCCTTGCCTCGTGATTGAGCAGCCAGGATTCTCCGGACATGACCAACCACGAATTGGACACCCATTTTGCATTTGACCTTTGCTAAAGTTACTCAGTTGTTCAGTGACCCTGGAAAAAAGGGAGCCCTTTTTTGGGAAGACCATGTTAGTGGGGCAGCCACCAAAAGAAAATGGAAAAATAATTGGTGCCACTGAACAACTGAGATTAATGTCTAGAACGAGCAAACCAAGGGGATCGATTTCACTTTTAGAGGCTTTAACACAGGCTTTCTTGGCTTTCGCGGGATGCACAGGTGGTCATTCCTGAACCGACAAAGGACGATGCATAGAAACCTGGCAGTTGCGGATCATCTGCCCGAGTCTGGTGCTCAGTGAGATGGCTGGATGTGTTCAGTGCATGGATTGCCAAGTTGCTGCTTTCTTCAGCCACTGTTGCTGGTGTTTGGGGTAAAGTGGATGGAAAGAAGCGATCGCAACTGGCGATCCATTTGCCCAAGATCAAGCAGTGAGTCCGTCAACTGTCTTCAAGAATCCGCCAGCTTCCATGCGGCTCGCTAGCAATCACAGGAAAAAGCGCGTGCTTTTTGAAAAGCCTCATCTGCCCGCACCGCAAAACAAGCCGATTGATTAACGGCTTGAGTCCAAGATTTGGGGTGGAACATTTGGTGGGTCACTTTTGCACCCAGGTTGCGTGTCCACCAAAGTCCCCACGATCCGTGTCGCAAACCCGGGTCCGACAGGGAAGCTCCTGCCTTCCTCTCGGTCTTACTTGAGTCTTCCTGTGGACGAAATCCTGCACCACTTTGACACCGGGGGAAACCAGAACGTCTGTTGGTATTTAATGGGGGAACTATCATTCCAGGGGTTCTTAGGTGGATCCACAGTACTTCGGGCAACACCTCACCTTGGCCCACGACTCCCAGCCGTGCCTCCAGACTGATCCGCCTAAGCCTTGGCTGTGCAATGCCGGACATGCGTTGCCCTCGAGAGGGCGCCCTGAAACACGAACAATCGATTTGGTGCCCAAAGCCAACACATGTACTTTTTTAAATGTATAAATTATAAACACACACAAACACACACAAAAAAAAAACCCACTTGGTCTCCTCGTGCTTGCCCGTTACCACCCAAAAAGCTTGGCCTTCATGCAAAAATGGCATTCAGTCACGACAACCCTGAAATGCCAACATAGGTGGCTTCCGTTTGGCCTCCCTTCAATCAAAAGGCACCCGAAAAGGCGCACCCAACCTGACATGGCGTGCAAACCATGCGAAAGGGATCTTGGGAGGGTTGCACCACCTCGGGCCCAGGGTGGAGGGCTACTCCAAACGAGTCCTGTTCTTCTGGGAAAAGGAGGTTTTGGCGCTCAAGCCTAACCTGGGAGTTCCCAAGGTGAAAGCTGAGCCAGAATCAAAGCCTGTTATCAAAATGGCCTACTCGAAGCAACGTAGAGAACGACAAGGCGGCCGCGGCCGCGCCTGCTTCTGGTTGGGAATTGCTCTCTCTCTCTCTCTCTCTCTCTCTCTCGCTGACGCTCTCGCTCTCTCTTCACTCTCCTGGGGTGATTGTGCCTCTTGCTCCGCAGCCAAATCTGCACCCTTCAATGTCATGCTAAGTCTGATGGACGGAACCCCGAGACCCGAGAGGAATCTCAGGGGCCATAGGAGTTCAGCTCCGTTCGCGAAAAAGTCCAAAAGTTCCGTTGAGCTTCTGGGCGGCCCTTCATTGTCGTACTAAAAAGGTTGATGAAATCTGAGGGGAACCCCGAGACCCAGACAAAAAATATGCAGTGAGGAAACCCCCCTTTTGGCAGTTCCTTTCTGGAACTTGGACCCTTCACATCTCGATGTTTGTGTTTTACCCCCAAGGTGCCCAGGAAGGGCAACACGGCTGCCGCGAAAACCAGCGAACTCCAATCCCTTGGCCCAGAAAGAAACGCCACGTACGACGAAAACGGCGAAGCATTCATCACGTGGAAGGGGTGCAGCAACAACAGAACAAACACCAACCAGCCAACCAGCCAACCAGCCAACCAGCCAACCAACCAGGTCTTTGGGTGGGGCAGTTTCACATTGACATTTTATTTCCATATCATCCTATAGAAAATGGCTATCGGTGATAACGTTCATAGTATATAGAACTGCTACATGTTGTGATAGTAGTAGCCACACTTGAATGACGATGATGCGAATGACCGGCACTTTCCCCAGCCTCAACATCATGTCGACTCCTGATGAGCCACCCCCGCCCTCCCAATGTTTGAAAGGCGGGGCCCTGTTTAGTGGGGATTCTTTTCTTTCAGAAGGCCCCCTGATGAACAACTGGGCAATAAGGATTCCCCGAAAACCCCCGGCCGCCCGCTCCAAGTTAAGCCGAAACGCCATGGCGTCCAG